AGACCAGTGTTATGTTCAGCCACCTATCTTTTTCTATGGTGACAGTTTGAATGTTTCACCAGAAATAATAAATTCCCCAAATGCACATCACTATGCAATATTATACTGAACAGCAAAAATTCTTGTGGACTTTACAAAGACTGATGGTCCTTGCCATCTTTTATTAGAATGTGCTATAGCATCAAATGCTACTCTTTTTATTATAAATACTTAATCTATTATATTGTTCTCAGATCACAACAGACTAACTAATGGTATATGTGTAACATAGTCTCTAGTATTTTTCCTTTGACATCATTAGTAATAAAGATCTTGGATCAAGACTTTGTGTTGCCAGAGAGAAAGAGGTCTCTGCAGAACTGTCTTTGAAAAAATGTGTAAGTAAGACTCCTGTAGGAGTTAATCAAATTGATAGGTTGCTAGTGCTTAATAAAATTACTTACCAACCCACATATATCCCAGAGCACAACAACAATTATACATGGCTCTTGATGATGGCATTTCAGATAAAAGAGGAAAATGTAAACCAAAACAATACAACAGGATGTGCATAGAGCACTGGATAATCTTCCTACATGAGAAGGATGGGAAAAGAGAACTTCCCAAATTAATACTTATACAGTAGAAAGACTTTTTTTTTCTTAGACCAGGGCTGTCCAAATGGTGGCATGTAGCCCCCAAGCAGCCCCAAGCTCCTAGTCTGAGAATTGCTCCCCCACGAGTCTGCCAGAGTTCCCTGGCTCCTCTCCTTTCTCCGGCTTCTGTTGCCTGACCCCACTCCTAAGGGTGAAGCTGAGGAAGCCTGCACCTGGGTGGCTCAGGGGGACCCAGGGCCCCATGCAAGGCAGAATGGGTAACTGGCATGGTACAGTGGGCTGCCCGCTATGCCCAAGAGGGATCTATGTGACATAGAATGCAGGGAGTGCAGATGTTGGGACAGCACAGCAAAGGGGTGCAATCCGTGCGGCGTATTCCTGGGGGCCCTACAGCACCTGACCACTCAGAAGTTGGACAATCTTGTCTTAGCCAACTGTATTTTTGTAAGACAGATAATCCATTTGAATATCTCGTTTTTAATACTGCTAGTCTGGAAGAGCTGATTTCTGCTACTCTTTTCTGTTTTACAGTTACTCTTTTCTTCATCTAACTCAGGAGTGGCTGCTTCATCCATTTCCAAGGGCCAGATGAGTAGTGGAGGGTCAGTCCTTAGGCCAGATCTGTAGCACAGAGCCAGTCCACAGGCCAAATCATGAGTGTGGAGCAGGGCTGGAGTAACCCTTTAGTGGGCCCTGGGCAAACAAAATTTGTGGGCCCTGGGCCAATAGAGACCCTCCTCCCCATCATGGCCCTGCTGCCTGTGGGGAGCAGGGCTCAGAGCTGCTGCTGGGGAGGTGGATGGAGCCATTTGCGCTGCTGCTGTGGAGTGAAGGACCAGAGCACCCTGCATCCAGTGCTGGATTTAGGCTTAAGCTACTTAAATTACAATATGAGGGGCCTCTAGATAAGAAAAAAAAACTTGACTCAATATCATGTTTTATAATAATCAGTCGGTAAATAAAGGAGATATGGAGAAATGACTCTCTAAATATGGACATTTTCATTCTAATATGACCAAAATAGACATACATTGGATTATTTTTATCATATGGGGCCTCTTAAAATAGACATAATTTAAGGCCTCAGCAAGTCATAATCCGGCACTGCCGTCAGCTCAGGGCTGTAGGCATGTGCCTAGTTTCTCTATGCGTTAATCTGGCCCTGGTGTAGAGCCATGTCCTCTGTCCTGGGGGACTGCTCATGGGGCTGGAAATTTAATGGTAGGCAAGTGGTGGCAGCGTTAGCTGTTGCAGTGTCTGGAGACATGGCAGCTGTCACTTATCCCACCACAACATTTCTGACATCTGCAGGCCAGATGACATGACTCTGCACTCCAACTCTGGCCTATGGGGCTGTCCACAGGCTGTAAATCTGGTGGTGAGGTGAGTGGCAGGGGGGGCGGGGTTTAACAGACCGGGCAGTATAAGACGTGAGGTGAGTGGCAGCTGCCATGGCTTCAAGAGCCATGGCAATTAATGCCGCTGCTGCTTGCCCTGCCACCACATTTCTGGCCTGGCTGGCAGGCCCACAGGCCAGATGACATGGCTCTGTGGGCTGGATCCAACCCACAGGCCATATCTTTGACACCCCTGATATAAATGCTGCAGAAGCAGTACATCTAAAATAAGTAACAATCCAGTAGGGAAAATAACCTTTCTTTTTAATTATATCAAATAAAATAAGGTCTAATGCATCATAATACAACCTACTTAAACAATGGGACTTTAGTATCTGAAGGTCATGTGTTGGCAAAGACATAGGTCTTTGTCCTTTTCTTATGTCTCATAGGTCCTTTATAAATTCTGAATCTGCCACTGGAAGCAACTCTCCAAAGAGCAGAAAACTGGGTTAAAGGATTAGACTAATTAGGTAAAACAAAGCATACAACATCTGACAGTTCCTGATGTTCAAGTGATCCAAAGAATTGTTGAGGGAGAATTGTTGAGGCATTCTCCAACTTTGGTAGTTTTGGACGTGTGATGTTGTAGAGATTGCTGGCTTAAGACTTCCACAAGTCTTTTGACACTGTCTGACATGACATTTTCATAAGCAAACTAAGAAAGACTGTCAGGTAAAAAAGCCCTCTTAGGGAATAAGGAACAGTGATCTGCAGTCACACTGAGAAGGCATCTCAAGTGGGGTTTCACATGTCTGTCTTGGCCCAGATCTATTCATTAAAACTTACTTGGAGGTGGAATAGAAACTATGTTAATAAAATCTGCAGATGACATCAAGTTGTGGGTAGAGGAGCTGTAGCATTTTGAATTCAAAATGTTCTCAATAAATTAGTGAGGTACTCTCCGGTCAACTAGATGAAATGCTATAAAAATAAATGTGAAAGTGCTACATATAAGAAGTTGTCAAATGCACAAATAAAAATGAGAAATGACTGTTTAAACAGCAGTCTGGCAGAAAAGGATCTGGGGGTGACAGTGGATCACAAACTAAAAAGAATCAGTAGCAGGGTGTTGTTGCAAAAAATATAACTCTCAATTTGAAATGTATTAATGAGAGTGTTGTGGGTGAGATGTGGGAGGTAATTATTCTGCTGTATTTGTCAGGAGCGGAGCCTCAGCTGGAATATGTGTCCAAAACAGATAGAGATAAATTAGAAAAAGTCCACAAGACAACAACGGGAATGATGAGAGGTGTAGAAAACATGAGTAAAGATTGAGGGAACTGGCTTTGTTTAGTGAGGAAAAGAGAAAACTGAGGGAAGACATAACAGTTTTCTAATCTGTGAAAGGTTGTTATAAAGGGGATGGTGAACAATTAAAACTAAATTAATTTACTTTACTGTAAATTAATTTACTTTACCCTTCCTTAAACCAATACTATTCAAAGAGCTTTTAGCCTGTTCCACGGCAACATAACAAAGCACCAGCAGCAAAACATGGCTATGGCAAGTGTTTCTGAGCCATGGGTATCATTATGATCCCCTTAAGTACGGAGTCTGACTATCATATAGTACATATAAGATATTCATTCTTTAAAACCCTGTTCAGATATGGCTAGATGCTGCTAACCATATCAATTAGACAAGTAAAAACACATTTCTAAAGCAATGCAATACATCTATTTAGAAAAATAGAAAAAGGACTTTTTGAATGTTAAATATGTATCCATTTCTAGAACTGGACCCCAAACTAAACCAAATCTCACTGAATTTCAAGTAGTCGGACATCTTCCTTCATCTCTGCTCCGCACTCCTACCATTTTGTGATGCCAATTCACTTCCGGCAACAGCTCTAACCCAAGAACAGCAGTGATGACATTGGGTGAAAACGGTATTATTGCACTATTTCCCATCTAGAAGTATTTCCCATTCAAGAAGTAACTGGAGTCTCTAAAGAAAGCCCATTCTCACGTGATTCTCAAGCAAATCTAGAGACTTGGCTGGCCCAGATAAAAACGCTTCAATTGCTGGAGTGCTCATAAAAACTCAAACAATAAACTTTTTACATTCTCCCATCACTACATGCTATAGTAAGACCACAGTTGAGTAAAAATGTGGCCTGTTTCTGGTACTTCCATTTAAAAACACAGAATCATAGAAAAGCGGGCCTGGAAGTGACCTCATGAGGTCATTTAGTCTAACCTCCTCAAGGAAGGACATCCCTATGCAAACTATCCTACACAAGTGCTTGCTTAACTCAGGGCTGTCCAGCTTCTGGGCAGTCAGGGACCACATGGTCACAGATGCAGAAGCTGCATAGCTCAGGGGTCACAGACCTGGGGGCTGAATACCATAAGGGCAGATAGGCACCCCCACCCAGTACTCCCCCGCATGCAGGCTGGCCAGCCCTTCCCCACTGCACACACAGCATGGCTGCCTGTCCCCCCCACCCCAATCCCACCTGGCTACCAGCACCATGTGAGCAGCACCCCCAC